TTGCAAAAGTTTCTCAGGACCCTGCAAAGGTTTCGCAGGACAATCCTGCAAGAGTTTCTCATTTATAAGGATCTTGCAAAAGTTTCTCAAGATTCTGCAAACATTTCTCAGGAGAATCCTGCAAAAAATCTCACAGAATCCTGACTTCTTTTTGCAAGATCCTGCAAAAAGAAGGATCATTAGGAGTCCAAGCCCACAGAGCAGAGGAACGCAGCTGCGAAGCAGCAACATTTCCATACATCTAACGGAGCAAAAATGGAGACACATTAGGTCGACCCTAAATTGATGAGAACCAGTTTTAGGCACCCTCGTGGAGAAGGAGCTCAAAAAAACGATGTAGCAAACTGGCCCTGAAACAGACCTTATAAAAACTCCTCTTTGTGCTACATTTCTGTGGTCCACAAGGTCGATAGGATGCTGGAAATGACATGAGCCAGTGTTGACATGCATAAACGGGCTTGGACCCTGGTCATAACTGCTTCGCAGTTCTAGTTTTATTTTTATTTTTTTTCCCCCAATGTCCCCTTATGGGTTTTGTACTAAATGACCATCCTTAGGCATAAAATGACAACAAATGGTTTTTATTATAYATGTAAGTTTGTGAAATGAAGCTTTCATCTTAAATGCGACATTTCATTAGAATCCTGATTTCAGGACACTATTTTCCTTTAGCAGCACATTAAGGCATCTCAAAGTTTGCACATTCCTTCAAACACAGACTGAATGTTTGGATTTTATCCCTGGAAGTGGAACGCATGAAGCATAGCACATCTTCAAACTGATCCCCATCTGATAGTGTGTCGGGTCAGTTTTTCACTTGAAGAAGATTGAGTTGAGTCTTTTTCATTTAACTTAAAAAAAAAACAGAAAAACTTACAGTTCTCCGAGCTTTTTCAGAACTGAGAAAGCATGTTCGTGTATATAACTGATCCTGTTCCGCTGTAAAACCCTGGAGAAATCAAAAACAAAATCATGTTTTCATGAAAAAAACATTTTTTATTCTATTTAATGAGCATCGATTGAACACACTTGCTAGAAGGTTTTATGAAGTTTTATGAAATTGAGTAAGATTTGCAAGCCTTAGTTGCCGAAAAGTTGACATTTTTAAAGCGAAAACTTTGCCTTTGCCACGGATTAAATTATGCAAATATATACTCACAAAACTGTCAACATGCTGCATGAGCGGAAAGAGGCATTTCCAATCATTTCAATGAGATTTCCCTCCAAGTCCCTGCAAGGACGTGTTATGAAACGTGCACACACAGGGGGCATGTGTGGACAGATACACAGAGAATAAACTCATCAAAAGACTTGTCACTTTCCTGTGAAGACGGCTTTGGATTTTCCCTTTTTTTTGACACCCTACTCACAGCCAGTTGAGTCTGGGCATTTCTTGACAGATGTCATCCAACTTTGTCAAAGAGTTGTTCAACAAAACCCTGCCAATCAGTCGAACAAAGGTAAATAAGGCGGTGCTCATTTTGTCAGTTATTCAGTCAAACAGATTGTCTTTTTTTTAGATAAACTGACAACAGATAAAACAGTGAACCTGAAACTAAAAGCTGAAACTTACAGTAAAACGAGGGAGTTCAGTCCTGAAAATGTCATGGTAGAGATCTGATGAATATTGTTGTTTTCTAATATTCTGCAATGACAAACATTGTTTTTAATCTTCGTTTTCTGAACATTCAATCAATCAATCAAAAAAAAGTACCACTTTACAATAAGGCAGCTTATAAATAGTTTATAGATAGGTTATTAATTCATCTGTTAACACTATAAATCATTAATAAGTGTTTATTATGCATTAATAAGGACAAGAAACAGACAAAACCGTCTGGTTTCTTGCCAAATAATGAGCCAAATCTGTTCATATTACATCTAAAGGCGCTTTATTAAACTTTTCACACCAGGTTTCTACCTTCTAAGTACAATAATGATTTGGAAAAACATATTTTAAATATAATATTGTCAGTGATGAGCACTAGTCCCCTACAGTGCAAATGTGCTAATAGCGGACCTAAATTTCTCCTTTGCGCTTTAGGGGGTTTTACTAATTTCTTTAAATGAAGTGCGGATTTGTGCTTTCTAAATTTAGAATTGAGTAGCGCTAATCGCAAATAATGTTACAAGTTCGATCGTCAATATTGTCTAAAGAAAAAGGAGAGAGCCGTCTAAACCCACGACATTCTGTAGCAATATATTTCATTAAAGTTTCATCATCATCATTTTTCATGAAC